TGTTTTATGATTATATACAATGTGCTATCACAGTAATAAAGCAGAGAGTAATGATAGATCATGACCCTTTTCATGCATCCAATATACTCTCCATATATAAAATGGAATGTGTTTAACTTTCCTGCAAATTGTACATACCATGTTTCCCCGAAAATAACTCAGAACCACTGAACTATATTTTTCAAAGATTCTGGAGCACAGGGGAACTACCAGAGGACTGGAAAAGAGCTGATATAGTTCCCATCTTCAAAAAAGGAAAAAAAATGGACCCAGGAAATTACAGACCTATCAGCCTGACCTCAATACCTGGGAAGTCCTGGAAAAGATAATCAAACAACGAATCAGCGAACACCTAGAGGCAAACAAAGTCATTACTAAAAGCCAACATGGGTTTGTCAAAAATAAATAATGCCAGGCAAATCTTATTGCATTCTCTGACCAAATGACAAAAATCAGTGGATCAGAGAAATCCTGTAGTCCTCAATGGAACCGCATCTACATGGAGGGAAGTGTGTAGTGGGGTGCCCCAGGGCTCTGTTCTGGGCCCAGTGCTCTTCAACAACTTCATCAATGATTTGGACAAGGGGATAGATGGGGAACTCATCAAATTTGCAGACAACACCAAGCTGGCAGGAATAGCCAACACTCCAGAAGACAGGCTTAAGATACAGAAGGATCTGGACAGACTTGAACACTGGGCGCTATCTAACAAAATGAAATTCAATGGTGAAAAAAGCAAGGTTCTACATTTAGGCAAGAAAAATCAAATGCACAGGTATAGTATAGGGGGTACCTTGCTCAATAGTAGTAACTGTGAGAGGGACCTGGGAGTCCTAATGGACAATCACCTAAATATTAGCCAGCAGTGTGCTGCAGCTGCCAAAAAGGCCAACAGAGTGCTAGGCTGCATTAATAGAGGGATAGAATCAAGATCATGTGAAGTGTTAATACCACTTTACAATACCCTGGTAAGGCCACACTTGGAATACTGCATCCAGTTTTGGTCACTGCGCTGTAAAAAAGATGTTGAGACTCTAGAAAGAGTACAGAGAAGAGCAACAAAGATGATTAGGGGACTGGAGGCTAAAGCATATAAGGAACGGCTGCTGGAATTGGGTATGACCAGTTGAATGAAGAGAAGGATGAGGGGGGACATGATAGCAGTGTTCCAATATCTCAGGGGCTGCCACAAAGAAGACGGAGTCAAGCTATTTTCCAAGGTGCATTAAGGCAGGACAAGAAGCAATGGGTGGAAACTAATCAAGGAGAGAAGCAACCTAGAACTAAGGAGAAACTTCCTGACAGTTAGAACGATTAACCAGTGGAACAACCTGCCTCCAGAAGCAGTGAATGCTCCAACACTGGAAGTTTTTAAGAAGAGACTGGACAGCCATTTGTCTGAAATGGTATAGGGTTTCCTGTCTGAGCAGGGGGTTGGACTAGGTGACCTCCAAGGTCCCTTCAAACTTTACTACTACTACTACTACTACTACTACCACTAATTATTATTATTATTATTATTATTATTATTATTATTATTATACCTGGTCTTATTTTTTTTTCAACCAAAAGACCTATTAGGGCTTATTTTCAGGGGATGTCTTATTTTGCAACCGCCTGTCCACTCCATCCCATTGTCTGGTTGCTCGGGGCTGCAATGGGGCAGGAGACCGCGTGACGCACCAGTGCCGCTGCCACGAGGTGAGGCAGATGGGGGGTAGAGCTGCCCCATGTGCCCCACACCTGGCTGGCTGCCCGCCTCTTCCCTTTTACTCCCCTCCCAAGCCGGGCTGCCATGTTATGGAGGATGGGCAGGGAAGGCTCGGTCCCCTTAACCGGTCCCTCTCCACTGTTTTGGAGTCAGGGGGGAGTGACAGCAAAAGGCCTCCGCCACCCCTGTGCAACAGCCAGTGGCAACTGCCACCACCTGCTCCTCCTCCTCCTCCTCCCTCGTGCTGCCTGTTCCCTGTTTCGGAGCCAAGGGTGTGTGAAATGACACTGAAGCCGGGTATCTGACAGGCAGAGGGAGATGGCAGGGGAGGCTTGTGTTGCCTGGTCCTTTGGCTACCCCCGCATGTCTGCGCCACTCTCCTCCTTGCCTGAAGGTGTGTTCTGGCCGGGTATTTAAAGACTGCGCAGACCAGTTGGTTGGGGTTTTTACCAAGATTTTTAATCAGTCTCTATCCCAGTTTTTTTTTTCTGGGCTCAAAGATCACCTCAGATGGGGACTGCAGCCATGAAATTAAAAGACGCTTGCTCCTGGGGAGGAAAGCTTTGGCAAATCTAGACAGCATACTAAAAAGCAGAGACATCACCCTGCCAACAAAAGTGAGTATAGTCCAGGCCATGGTTTTCCCAGTTGCAGTGTATGGCTGTGAAAGTTGGACCATAAGAAAGCTGAGCGCCAAAGAATTGAGGCCTTTGAACTATGGTGCTGGAGAAGACTCCTGCGAGTCCCTTGGACTGCAAGGCGTTCAAACCGGTCAGTCCTAGAAGAGATCAACCCCGACTGCTCTTTAGAAGGCCAGATCCTGAAGTTGAAACTCAAATACTTTGGCCACCTAATGAGAAGGAAGGACTCACTGGAGAAGGGCCTAATGCTGGGAAAGATTGAGGCAATAGAAGAATGGGACGATAGAGAATGAGATGGCTGGATGGAGTCACTGAAGCAGTAGGTGTGAACTTAAATGGACTCCAGAAGATGGTAGAGGACAGGAAGACCTGGAGGAACGTTGTCCATGGGGTCGCGATGGGTCGGACACGACTTCGCAATTAACAACAACAACAACAATCCCAGTCCACTATTCCATCCTGGCCTCCATCATTGTTCCATTACCAAAGAAGTCTTTTACTAACAGTCTCAGTGATTATAGACCAGTGGCACTAACCACTATTATCATGAAATATTTTGAAAAACTGGTCTGAGGCACATTGTGTCCTGCCTCCCATACACACTTGACAGTCACCAGTTTGCATACAGACAAAAAGATCTACAGAGGAAGCCATAGCTATCATTCTCCAAACTACTCTGACTCATCTGGAGCAGCGGGGGATCTATGTAAGGATGTTCTTTGTGGATTTTAGCTCTGCATTTAACACAATTCTTCTATACACACTGGTGTTTAAACTTGTCAGTCTTGGATTTTTCATATTCAATCTGCCTTTGGATTATGAACTTTCTGTCTGGCCGCTCTCAGAGGGTTAGATTAGACAACTATATCTCTTCAGCCCTTATTCTTAATATGGGCTCCCCACAGGGCTGTGAGTTGAGCCCCCTACTTTACACACTCTACACTTATCACTGCACCCCCACTCACCCCAGCAATATTGTTAAATTTGTGGGTGATACAACCGTGGTGGGGCTTATCTCCACGGGGATGAGTCTGCCTACCCGGATGAGGTGGAATAGCATTCTTTAACAGTGTGAGATGCAATCGCAGACCATGAAACAAATATAAATATAAAACAACAAAGAGAGGGAGAGAATTTTCTTCACTGCTAAGTTTTAACAAAATAACAATGACATGCCATCAAAAACCAATGAAGCAAATTTTATTTTAAGCAAAATAGAAAAGAGTCAGGCAATATGCAGGGGGATATGAAAAGTTTATTCCCTACGTGTCTCAATTCACATGCACAATTAAATGGATAAACCATGATTTATTTGTTTAAAATTAATACATTCACATGCTCTCTCTTTGTTTCTGCCTTTTCTTCCCAATTTCATACTCCCTATAGTAGAAAAGCTATCCTGGCTTCCTTTTGAAGTCTAAACCATAAAACTGTGATTGAACTATTTCCTGGAAATCAGGATAGCATGACTGAATTTTCTGTGGAAAGAAAGGAATGAATAAGAGGCATAACGCTGGAATGCAATTGGAAAAGAGTATTTCAAATGAGTAAACCAAGATTGTTTTCCTTTTGATTGTGATTTTAAAGTAGACGTGGCTTGCCTACAATTACACCCTAAAAAGTTATATATGCTTGTGCTTTACTGAAGTCACAATTTGCTCAACCAGCAATGGATTTGTATGTTGAATGTGCTAGATAATCAGGGTTTAGTGACTATGATCTAGAGATCAGATTTCTAGATGTGACTGGCATACAGTGGATTTGTATTTTTTTACCTTTGGATATTATTTATATCAGGGTAGACTCTACCCATTTATCCTGTTTTCTGACAGGTACAAATGATTCAACCCATGAGTGTTTTCAGTCCTCCTTCTCCCCCTCTCCTCCTGTAACAGTGGGATTCTCATGGATTACAATAAAAAGCAATAACACAATAGAAGCAATAATACAATAAAATCTATGGTAGAAGATAAATATATATTTGTAAAGTCACAACTATAAAATGCAAGTATGGAACATAAAAACTAGCTATTATAGATCATTCTCAACTACCACAGGCTCTCCAGAACAAGCTTGATCTTTCCAGAATGCCAACAATGTGGGGACTAAACAGATATGAACTGGAAGGGTGTTCCATAGCACAGATAAAGGTTTAAAGGTTTCCCCTGTCCAGTCATGACCGACTCCAGGGAGTGAGGGTCATCTCTGATTCTCAGCCAGAGGAGCCTATGTCAACATGTGGCCATCTAAGCAGTACCTATTTAATTTAACTGAGTAGAGTAAAATAGTAGTGGGGTGCTTCAGCCCTTTCACCCTGCAATATGGGGACTATAAGGAATTTCTCACAGGACAAGTGAATTGAGTCAATTCTGGCTGAATTGACTCAATTGAATTTGAGTCTGGCTTGAAAAAATAGCTTGGCACCACCAAGCTGTGTGTGTCTTTGTAGGTTGAAATGAACACTTTGAACTGTACCGAGAAGCAAATGAGAAGTCCGTGGAGGGTCTTGAAGCACTGGTGAAATGTGCTCATGGAAATAACAGCCAATCAAAAACTGGGCCATTGCAAATCTAATGCAAATGTCTCTATCAAAAAGGCTATCAGAGATAAAACATTTCTCCTTAATCAAATAAGGGATAAATACTTACTTTGAAAGTTGTTTTTCGGCATCCGCACAGAGTTCCAAAAGGCCCATCAGCACAGCAGACACGTCCATATAAGGCTCCCACACTGTAAACCCTCTTCCTATGAGATCAATGGCAGTTCTCCGAATGGTACTGTGAGGAGGAAGCTTGGGACTGGGAGGCTGCAGTAGAAGATAGGTCAAAGCTTTGCCTGCCATACAAGACATGTGAGAAAACCAGAGTTAGGAAAACAAGATCTAACATGGTGTATTATGATTTGGGTAGACTGGAAGCTTATGGGGTTACCTAGTAGAGTTCCTCCATCCAGTTTGCTAACTGGGGCCAAGAGTAAAAATGTAGCTCAAGTAAGAATGTTTATACGTATGTATTATGTACTGTATATATACATATGTCTCTCTCTGTGTGTGTATGTATCAAAATAATGGAAAGAAAGTCCTTATTATACTCCATGAGCCATATGTTGCGACAAGCTATATGTACAATTATTTGCATTGTGGGAGATAATGATGATGGTGTTATCCATTCAGTCATGTCCTACTCTTGGTGATTCTATGGGTCAGATCTCTCCACATTTTCCAATTTTGCACTGCTGCATTAAATTTTTCTATCCTATCTATCCTCTGGCAAGTTCTTCAGCTTTGATGGTGTCCATCCGTCATGTTCTTTGGTGGCCTGGTTTCCTTTTACCGCTAACTCTTCCAAACATAATTGTGAAAGATAAGTGATTCTAACTCAACAGCATATTAATGCCTGTATAACATTCAGCTCTACCTTTCTCCAACCCAGCACCCTTAGAATGTGCAGAATTAAAAAAGTTCAAATGCTTCTTTGGTGGCCTGCAATTGCTCTTGCCTGCCGATTATCAGTCCAGCTTTCTAACCTCATGAGTCACTGCAATTGAAAGGATTGCTCCCTCCCCCTTCTACTGCTTCCCCCCCATAGAAAACAAATAAAGGTAATTACAATCCTCTGCCAAAATTTTCTCCAACATGAATGTCTACCGACAGTACAAGTTGAGCCACAACTGAAGTCCAATTTCAAATTTCGACTGCAGGAGCACCTTTCTCTTTGGAAATAGTTTTAATCCCAGAGACAATGATAGCCTTATACCTATGAGTATTCTGGAAGATTGTGGAGACCTAGCTTTTTAGGAGAATATGTAGAGGGAATGGAACAATGGAATGGAACCATTGTTCCAAATAATGCCCTGCGTGGAAACAAATGGTTGGCACCATTAGTAGTTTTTCTTTGTTTAAATTATACCCGGGGTATCAAATTCGCAATGTCACGTGACATCTTGTATCATGACTTTTTCTCCATTGTTGGCAATGGGATGGGCGCGGTTTCAGCATGACACATCTAGTCTGCGGGCCGGCAGTTTGACACCGCTGGATTATACCATCCTTCCCTAATCTTAATTAAAATCAAGGTTTTATAAATCGTTCAATGTCAGCAATTTGGAGTGGCATCAAAGTCTACGTAATAAACAAATAATGAACCAAATGAGATTTGGTCCTATCTACAATAATTTTTCCATGTTTTACTCTCCCTTCCTTATTTGTGAATAATAACTATCAAAAATTACTGGGATTCAACTTGTTACGATTTGTTTTTTCAAATGTTTCTCTCCCCAACCATGAGAAAGACAAGAGATTGTTCCCCCCCGCCCAAAGAGAAGCTTGAAATAAAGATTGGGAAAACTGAATGAATGATGAAATGATCCAACATGATGAAACTGACTCACCTATCACAAGGGTTTGGGTGGATCTTTATCATATCTGCAAATATTTCTTGCATTCTTAAACCACATTCTTTCTAAATAAGGCTTTCATAAAAATATTGGATGCAGTGGCCACACTTATTTATGGATTTAGATAAGGTTGCAGCTATCTTAAAAGCAACAAAATTGGGTGAGGTGAATTTGGACTGCCATAATGATAAACTGAAACACACATGTACTCAAATCCTGATTCCTGTCTTCATAATGTTCTCAGGGACTATTATACAAAAGAAAACTAAATAATAAGAACCATGTTGCAGTAGCAAAATTTGCTCTTAAGAGAGTATCATATCATACAGAGGACAGGAGAGGCCCAGCCCAAGTAATTTTACTGGCCTATCCAAGACTAGGTGCATAATAATAGATAAGTAGATAAAATCTTCATAATCACCATCCTCACCACTACTCTCATCTACGAGAAAAAAAATACAACTACTTAAAGAATTAATAACTTATTTTCTGCATCTAAGAATTGCTGTCTGAGTCAGCCAACGGTAAGATTGTAAGGATGCTGAGCTAAAGTTGGAATTGATTACATTCCCTTAGAACAAAAAGATTTTACTAGTGATGGTTGCATCACAGAAAGTACTGAAGATGAGACTCATAAATGGTAGTGTGTTGATTGGTTTGTTCTTTTCCAACTGAACTCAGAATGCTGATAAGCAGGAAAGAGCAAGTAGAAATTTGCAGAATGTTAGGGGATACATGATGTTTACCAAAAACTTTAGAATTGTTAGGACTTATAGATCATCATAAGGATTTTCTATTTAGATCAGCCTTTGCAGATTGTGCTAGCAGCTATAACTGGAGGTGATTTGTAAGCATTTAGTTATGATTTAAATCAATACTTTATTGTCTACCTTCCTATCTTAGTATACCTATCCTAGGTTTTACAAATGGGGCTCTCTAGAAGCTCAAAGGTGACGTTTAATTTTTAACTGTTTCTGCCTTGTCCAGTTTTCCTGGAGACATCTACATTGTGCTTCCATTCTCTAACAGACTTCATGGTCATCCAAACTTAAATTATTTCCACTGAGGTTTCGTGGATGCCAATTGTTTTTGCTCTATATCTATATGAAGAAATGGGATGTGTAAAAGCACTGTTCTTATGTTTGGTTTTCAACAATTAACAAAACAAAGCCCACATTTTCATTTACTCCACCAGCATTAAAAGCTACATTCAGTTAGGAGGAGTGCCTGGGAATCTTCCAATCCTTACTGCATTACTTCATCAGCTCTCACTTGTTAAATGCAAAATTAATTTGCTCTACTCTTTCACGTCTCTTCCTTTTTCCTCTCTTCTTTTAAACAGAGGGGCAACCTCTACATAACACAAGGCCTCTGTCATATTCATTTCCACCCCCAAATTATGGATACTCAAATTGTGATAATGAATCTTGTAATGGATTACTTTCATTTTCAAATGAAGTCCATTGAAATAATGAACTGCAGCAATCATCCATTAGTAAAATGTGAATGTTGGGCAAAACAAGTAACTTTCCTAGATAAATGTAATTGATCATTACTGTGATTCTATTATACAGTATGCTTTTTAAAATATCATTCATTTAGCTACTTATTGCTGTGGTTGAGACAAAGTATTGATTTTTATAGTTCCCCCCCCCTTCTCTTATAGGCAGTTCTCAAAGCTCAGCTTTTTATTTTTTGTTTACTGAACAAACTGCCTGCCATATTTAGTAACTGAGAGGGAGCTGGCCAATCAGAAAATCTGGCCAAATTTAACCTATGGGAAACTTGGCTGTTTTTCAAAGAACAAGAAACTGGGTCTTTGAATTCCATCCTAAGCAGGTGTTTTAATTTATGAAATACTCCTCTTGCAAACTACTACTATTTAAGTAAAGCAGCCTGGTTTTAAAACGTATGAATGAACACCAACTACATACCGGCCGCACTAAATATTTCTCCTTGTCAACATTTATCTTGTTTAAACTGAGCTGTGGGGGGGGGAGAAAAGGTGAACTAAACAAAAGTCACTCTGCTGCCCACTTCTCAGCCTGGACATCTTTGTTTAAGCTTTGACTTGGCTTAAATGAACGAATTAATATTGACAAAAACATCAACTAAGCTAATGAGTTGTTAGTTAAGGCAATAAACATGTCACATTAGAGTCAGCGCAGTGAAGAGGTAATTAGCCCTAGAAAAGCTCCATTGCGATCCTTTGCTCTTAACCTTTCAGTCTATTATCTAGTGCTAAAAAAGCAGCCTCTATGCCAGTACAATCCACCAATACACATCAGCCTTGGTACAATCCACCAATATACATCAGCCAGGGACTGCATTAGTAAGGATGCACAGGGCCTGGTGCCTTCGTATTTACCCAGGGTCTATTAACAAGTTTATATCATATATTGTAATAGGCTATGGATGTTAGCAGATCTGGAAAAGAAAAAGGAATGGCAGAGAATGACAAGGGTGGGTGGGTACAAACAACGTCAAAACTCTTACTGAAAGAGTATATAAAAGCAGTAAAGATATAAAGAAAACTTAACATGACACTACAGAAATAAAACATTAAAGGTATAAAGTTGGCAATAGTGGCGAATATCTGTATAAAGTTTCTTTCACACAGAATATTTCAGTTTTGTGTACATTAGATAGTTAGAATTAGAGAATGGACATGAAGTTGCCAATTTTGATTACAACACTGTAACTCCATAATGCGTCATTTTAATCTGGCTAATTTTTTTAGCAAGCCCTTTGCATCTTACGTAAAAATATATGACTTTTACAGCGATACTGCTGAGAAGGTCAGACAATTTTAATATCTATATCTTGTTCGAACTCCAATAGATTTCAAGATGTCACCTGGAGCCCTTAGTGTCTTTGTCAATGAAATTACTAAAATGGTAAGGCACATTTCACCACTTTAATTGCTTTATTAAAGAGATTTAAGATCTTATTCTAATTTACCTGTCAGTTTTTATGCCACTGCCCTAATAAGCGCAGAGGTTTTAAAGGTGGCTTCCTCATCTATGCTGCAAACATATTTTTGTGCCAGTTGAAAAATTTTCAAGAGACAATAAACAAAAGTTAAAACACTCAGTGGAGAATAAACATGAAAACGAACAGAATGTGAGGAGTATACTTTTCAAAATTTAATTTAATTTTAACCTTACAACTTAGAAAAATGTTGTAATTAGAAAATTCTACTAATATCATTGCTCTTGGATGCTGAACTGCAAGTTAACTGGGCACTTGAGCAGTCATAATTTTAAGAAAACAGTGGATTTTTAAGACTTTACAAATAGTCCTTAATTTACAACAGTCCATTTAGTGACCATTGAAAGTTACAACGGTGCTGAAAAAAGTGACATGATTGTTTTTCACACTTATGACCATGGCAGCATCCCTGTGGTCACGTGATCAAAATTCAGCCGCTTGTCAACTGA